AAGTGCAAGTTACTGTCCATGCACCCAGACACCGACTTAAGTAGAATTTAACATTTATTCATGGTATTGGTATAATTTTTGAATTTAAAATGGGCAGATGTGTTCATACGGCGGTTACCATACGGAAGCCTTAAAGAACGCTCATCACGGAAAAAATTTTAGAATCGGTAAGACTTGGCATTTTGAGGGTGATCAATGCAAGCTGCCGTTTAACCACATTACATTGGCTTAAAATTGTATCTGTTTAAGTAACACCTGAAAAAATATAATCATTGGAATCAATCACTTATCATGAAAATTAAGTGTTTCAATTGCAGACATGCACATATGCCACTTCTTTACCAAGCCTGCAGAGTTAACAGTCATGAATAATATATTTGCAATTAAGTCAACAAATTTATAAAGCTCAACCACGAGCAATTCGTTGCTTTAATAATATATATTCGATTTCCATTTTCAACGATTGAACAATGTTACGTTATTTTAAATTAATAGCCTCGTTTTAAGATTTTTATCTGATAAGGGGACTATAGTTACATGTATCAATTTAATAGTTTGTGGGGGAAAATACATATATTTGTCTTAGAGAAAAAATGCTACCCACATTTCATGACTTTAAAAATAACCTAAAATTAGCTTGGACTATTTACAAAAATGCAGATTTGACTGACTCTGAAATTAAAAGATGGCAAATTGTAAGATTGTTACTTGAATAAATTACACTGGTATTCTATATTTATGTGATGTATTTCTTTTAAATAAATAACTTACATACATGTGTAAAATAGATAATTTGTAAACCTTCTCTAATTAATGTGATAGAAGTTTAAGGTATTTTTATGATAATTTATTTGTAAATATTACAATGTGATATGCATGTATAAATAATGTAAGGTATGAGGGGGATGACCCCGACCATCTCATACCTATTACGGGGTAAATAAACGGGGTTACCCAGTTGGGGCCTCAAAAAAGTTGTTGTTTTTTGTTTTGTTTTTTTTTTCTTCTACGTTGTTGTTGTTTTTCTCTTTCTGTTCTTTTTTCAAATCTGCATAACGCATATCGACCATTTAATTTTTACACCATTTAAATTAAAAAGTGCATGGTAATATTAACTATCTGTCATCTCAAAATTATTTCGTAAAAACATTTAACCACATTTTTAACAGGTCACCTACATCTTAGTTATTGTCTAAGTAAATATAGACTAAGTAAATACAGAAAAAAGATTATTGGTCAATATATTTTATAGATTGTTTGAAAATTTTGTAACTTTATCGCAGAAAAAAGTCAGGTCTGAAATATGTCAAAGTTAGTCAACCGCTAATTTGATATTTTATAGCAAATAGTACTGCACTTTTACATAGGTAAATAGTTGAAATAAGTGCCAAGAATTTTCTTGAACTTTGAATTATTATAAGAAAGCATAATAAAAACAAGTTCCTGTTAACAGTTGCGTGTTCCAATACACCACTTTTTGAGTAATCTGCCAATAAAAATGAGTTTGTAGCTCATTTTCAAAAGCAGATCATTCAAAACCGTGGCAAGATTGTTTTTTATTATTTACAGATATTATTATTCCCTTGTAGGTTGCAATATTTGTTGAACTTTTATGTAATTTTTTAATACTATAGCTGCTAATGGTAAAAGGTAGAAATTGTCCCAAAGTTTTTGCTCCCCATTGTTTCAACATGTTTAATATGCAATATATTAATGTAGTATGCATAGTATATTGGCTGCTGTATTATAGTATATTGGCTGCTGGATAGAATTTTTTAACGCTTTGCAAAGTAACTAAAACGAGATAACAATAAATAAATTATACAAAATAAGTTATCAAAATGCTTAATTTTTAGCACGTTGTCTCGAAAATGACCAAAAAAAGAGCAAAAAATGTCGCATTCTGATCGATTACTCAAAATGTACTATAGTGACATAAATTTGTTTTCAATTATCATTTTGTTCAATCATGTATTGCTTACAAGTAAGATAGTCTCAGTTCAGGTATTGTTGATTTTAATACGAAAAATAACAAATCAAGAAGATCTTATATTGTCCGTTTTTATGAAGATACCCTGACGATCGATATGTCCTAACTAAAGGAGTGCCCGTAAGATGGAGTATCACTGTATATTTCTGCAGAAGACATGAAAACATGAAAAGGACGATCAGAATATAGTTGAAATATAACTTTTTATGTACTAACATGAGAAATCTTACCTGATACACGAGTCAGCGTTATTCCAAAAACAAGTGCTGCTGTATAGAAATTACTCATATTAATATTTCTAACAATAGGTTTCAAATTATCAAAAAGGCTTTTTCTTTTCTCCTTCGGCTATTATTAATCAAATCATACTTAAAAAGACCACTTTATCTAGTGGAAACATAATAATAATTTTGATATATCATTAAGTTATGTAATGGTAAATGCCTTTAATTAGTTTATTCATCCGTGGGTGATTTTTCCCTATCTACACTAATTACAAAATAACAATGTAAATTTGCATAAGCAGACATGATGAACAAATGAGTATTCGTTCTCTCTATAGTGTCAAATTCAAGGCTAAAACACCACACTAAATATCCCTCTAAAGACCATTGTATGATTAAATGATATAATCTCGCTTTTGCGGCCAACGGAATGAAAATCTTTTTAAAACAACTTATTCATCACAGATTTATATACGATAATGAATGAAAAATGGTAAGTATCGGCGAAAAAAAGGATATTTGTCTATTGTGTGACCGTTATTTCTGCAAGCGTCTAGAGGTACTGCTCCGATCCTGAATTGTAAATTCCAATTCAACAGAGATCTTGCGTTCATAATCTCTGATTCCCTTCCAAAATTCCATTATGTTTAGTTCCGCCAATTGTTTTCTCGTTAAGGGCACACGCTTTCTATTACTTGGGGACCATACGCCGCTTTTCATGGAATTACACTACCGTGCCACATTGAAGGTTCCATGATAACCGCCGTATGAACACATCTCCGGATGTTTCTAAATTCAAAAACCAGTTTCATGTTTAAATGTTGAATTCTGCTTAAGCCGGTGCTACGGGAGGGACGTGGGCGGTAGTTAGCCCTTGACAACAGACCCAATCAAACTGAGCCTGCAACATTTTCAATTTTGTCGTTTTTGGGACTTTCTTTAGGGATTCTTATTTTCTCTAGTTGCGAATTATTCATTAAATACGATAATACACACGTCTTTGTCTGCTTAAGGAGTCAAGCTGTTGTTGTTGTTAGTTTCTTTCTAAAGTAAACAACTGAATCCGTTCGTCCTTAAACCTCAAATTTTTAAAGATTTCAAATTGACAGTTGTTCGGGTTTTGCTGTACACAAAGACGGTAATTTTAAGAAACGCTTTTAACATGTTATCTACTAGTATGTGATAAATAGTCTAGATATAATAAAATTAAACACGCAAGTACTGACTGGACGAGAGGTCGTTTTTTGGGGTGTTTTTTTGGTGTCCAATTGTATGCCGATTACTTGAAAAGCGTAGTGTTTAAATCGTTTATTAATTGTGTTATTATACATATATAATTAAAATTTAGATAGATAAATTTTCATAAAATCATGAATGCACTATGTGCTAAAATACTGTTAATATCTCTCCGCAGTTTGCTTTTATTTCAATTGTTTTAACTGTTAACTACAGATGAAAAATACTCTTTAACGGTGATCAACAAGGCAAAATGGTATATGCTACGTCTTATTGAACGAAAAGATACCGTGTCCAATAATATTAAATAAATGTATATTTTCATAAAAGAACACACATAAACGTAAAACAGATACAAGGACATTTACTGTATATAACAGCAATTAACGTTGTACATGCTCATGTTTCATAATATATTTATTTCAATTCTAAGTTTCAGTGCGTTCTTCATTACAGAGTAAAAATAATGATTTTCCATTAGTTCCGTATAATGATTTTGTGCATTTTTAAGTATCATTGCATGAAAATGTAGATAGATCTCAGGTTGGTGGATTATCTTAAATGAGTAACAAACATTTTTATTGGTTTATATCCTAAATACGATGCTCAAATTAAGATTTATCAATTTTGTAAAGCCCAAAAAGCATTATTTTTAAAGATAATACCGAATTTAACATTTCATGTAAATAAAGGGAGGTAATAAAAAATTTATTTTCCATAAAGTCTAAGTCATATATCACATCTTGCGATATTGGCAATGGCTATATTTTAGCGAATCATAATTAGCACTGTTGCCGTTTACGATTGTTTAGGGGCTTTCTTCTAGTAGCACGACATCTCCCTATTTGATAGAAATACATGACGCCTGAGTTTAATCCGATACAGCAAATACAAGACATAATATATCGTTGCTTTACTCTGTTTTCAAACGTATCAATTCTGATTTATACACAAATTCTTGGTCAAATAAAATAAATGGTTATACTTTTATTTGAATATAAATTGTAAATTTTAACAGTGACTATAGGCACGCGATCAGATATGATAAATGTATGCCTGCCTTTAACAAGGAAAATTATGATGCATGTATAAGTTATGATGTTCGAGTGGTTAACGCGTCTGATAAGTAATCTAATGAACGCTTGCCGCATGGGGTTCAAAATCCGTCAGGGGCAAGTCGTTGTTTCCATGAGCAAGAAATTTTACACTCATTGCTCAGTACTGGTTGGTTCTAGGAACGGATTCGAAAGTATGTCAATAAGCTAATAGCTTCCTACACAATCCAACTAAAATAAATTCTGAGTGTATAAAGTTTAGCCAGAAATACTCCATGAATGAATTATGTACCTGGGCTATGATAAACACACGGGTACTTCAAATGTAGTAGTTGCGATAAGTGTTAAATAAATAATTACAAACAAACACTGAAGTAGTGAAATTCATATGAAAATAGCAAGTCTCTAGTGAGATACTTCTCATAGTGGAAACTTTAAAAGGGTGTGATTATGGTGCGTTTGTTGCATATTTCACAGTTAGCTGACTGAGCAGATTCATTTTTTAAAGAATCCGAACATGTTTTAAAACAAACACAATGTAGAAAATAAATAACATTATGTAACTTTAGCAAGGAAAAGGTTTCAATGAACTTATAATAGAACAAATATTAACAACATATAAAAGTGAATACTAAGCTTTATTGGTGTGAGTAAAATTACGGATATTCGCAAAGTGATATTAATTGATTTTGCTAAATTTGTAGAATAAATTTCTAAATTGTTTATACAAAATACTAGTGTGAGTTGAACATTAGATTAACAAACAATGTGTTTATTAATTGGCAAACGACAAAAGGCATATGTATAAGTTACCTGATAAGAATAAACTAGTTTAAATATTTGTATCTGCCATATAACACGCATACCCAAATCTACAAATTATTAAAACATTGACAATTTTCTTAACAATTTGCATTATAACAATATTGACAATAGCAAAGAATAAAATACTAAATTCGGAAAGACATATGATATATTTACTTCGGTGTGTTTTTGTGTAGAAAGGAGTCATTAAAAAGCTAAATTGTATTAATTTCTGAAACTATGAATGTCACGGAAAAAACTCTTGAAGACTTTAGACAGTACAATATAGGGAACTTTCTTTGGATTTATGTTTCACCAATTCTTATAATAGTTGGGACATTTGGGAACATTCTATCCATATGTGTTCTCCTGCGTCCAAAATTACGTTGCTCGACAACAATGTTTTATCTAACTTGTTTAAGTTTTGGTGATTTGTTTACACTGTACACTGGATTGTTACGTTACTGGATAAGTAAAGCTTTCGATGTGGACGTGAGACATTTTTCAAACGCCACTTGCAAGATTCATGCGTTCTTAGTGTACTTATCCCTGGATTTCACTGTTTGGATTCTGGTGTCTGTGACAATAGATAGATGTTTGCGGGTGTCCATGCCATTCAAAGCTAAGATTATATGCACTCTGAAAAGATCGCGCTATGTAATAGCTGTTATCTTATTTTTGCTGGTCATCAAGAACATGCATTTCCTTTGGAACCTTCAACTTGTCGATACGTCGGAATGTGATGCCAAAACGGAAGCAGTCAGTAACCTTTTGAAATATGTTTGGCCATGGATTGATTTTTCAACATTTTGTTTGATTCCGTTTTCCATTATGATAGCATGCAATATCAAAATCATTTACAGAATCATCCGTTCTCAAAAGAAGCTGAACAAACACAAAGATTATTATCGGACACCAACTTTAAAACCTAAGCATGATAGCCCGTTATCACAGGATAATAGTTCTGAAAAGTCTGTTCAGTCGACGTCCATGATGTCACAAATGACGTCACATCAGACATCGCAGCAAACGTCACGTGTCAAAAAACGTTCATCAGCACGAAGGATTTCCTCACTGACAGCTATGTTACTGACTGTTAATTGTGTTTTCCTTTTAACAACATCGCCAATTCAAGCGTTTTTGATTGGAAAAGAATATTGGTATTCTGATAAAACACCAGAAGAAAAAATTGCCTGGTGTAATTTTTGGCGGGCTGTTGTGAATATGTTGCAATATACTAACAACGCTGTACATTTCTTTCTTTACTGTTTGACAGGTCCGATATTCCGAAACGAACTGAAGACGATGCTCCTTGATATTGTAAAAGGACAGTCTGGTGGAACAAAAGTTTAAATGATAAATATTACTGAAAACTTTCATTATGATATAACTATAGATTCATATTGGAGATGATTAATTATTAATTATTATTTGAATACATTACTTATCTTTATTTATCTGACCACTTGCCGGTAGTGATAGATTACGGCTTATGTTTCAGTTTTACAAATTCAACGATTTCAACCTTGTGAATTTATGATTTCATGTTCTAATCACATATCAACGTTTTCACAACATGAGCATTTACTTTACTATTTCAACTTTATAAATTCACGCTTTTATGATCTTAATTTCATAAATTCGGGTTTTTACGTCTGCATGAATTCTCAAAATTGCAAATTAAAGAAAGTGAATGCGTGTAGTTATAATTGTGTGTATATTTAATGAAATTAAAATCCAGCAGAAAATTGTAAGTAATTCCTTAAAGGTACAGTGCTACTTGTAGAAGCCATATTTATCTCTTATAACTACCAACTTGCATAACAATAACACATTATCAGCAGAATATTCTAAGTACCGTGACTGTAAGCTGATAAGCCTCAAAATTGTAAAATAAAAGTTCATATTCACGGACAAATACGACGGTGAGTCAAAATGTAATGCAATATGAAGTATATTATCTAATTTGGCTGGTGATTCGTGTGTTTGTATAAACAATGCTATGCTTCAAAGTATCTCCTTTAAATGGTGCCCAAATCATAATGTGTAGTCAACCGATTAAGAATTTTATTGACATACAGGCGTAACTTCATCAAACGTATGGCCAGTGAACACTCAGTTAATGGTGCTGAAATACGTGCAGACATAAAGGCACAAGCAGAACGCAAAAAATTCTGCTTTTTATGGTTATAATTATATTTGTATTATTTATCGCAACAATAAAGTATTAGTAATATAGCTACTGTGATTGATTTATTTTCAAGAAAAAAACTTTCTTAAATATCCAGCGTAATCTCCAGACGTAGCACCCTGTGACTTTTTCCCATCTCCTAGACTGTCAAAAACACCTTGCAGGTCAATGCTTTCTGAGTAGAAATGGTCATTGATTGGCCATTTGTCCGTTATTGAAGGTATAGCTAAGGATGACACTGTTAAAGCGTTTAAAAATGTAATTAAACATCTATATTTCTGTAGCAAACGATTATTTGGAAGCGTTGTTATCACTTCAGTATGTTGTTTTTCTGGTCATTCGGGACAATTGAATCCTGCACCTTTGAGTGCAGAAAATTGAGTACCGCTCAGGCCGGTGAAAGGGGCATGAGGGATGTTAGCAAATTGTTTAGTGTTACTTTATTGACCATATTGCATTACACACCCTCGTAACTAAAAACAAAACGGAAACGTCAACCCTCAATTTATTTCGCTCAAAATGTGTCTGTTATCGTTTAAAGGAAAAAATGTAAATAAGATAAATGACGAAGTATTCATGCCGCCGATGCATCTACATGAAAGCTGGAAAAAAAGATCTTATTAAGGCATATATGTAATTTGGAGAGGAGTTTTGCTAGCGAAATAGTGACAAATATTTACAATCGTGTTTGCATTATTTCTGGAAATTTTTCAGTCGTATGTAAGATTTCTTAACTCTTCAAAATCTACCAACTTATGAGTTCATGTGAACAATAGCCTTCTAATAAAATGGCTCAAAATCTGATGATTCTCTAAATTCATAATGCAGCTTTGCTGGTACATAGTAGACAAAAGATACAGTGAAAAATCAATTGGGGAAAAACATTTGAACAGTAAACAGTTTATGAGAGACTTTTTCCAAAACTATACATATATGAACAGTGGCATTAAACATTATATTATAACAAGCATTCATTACATTTAAATCATTATGCATCATTCCATTTAGACCTCAGTCCGTATTCCTTTGGCAGTGCAGGTGAAAGCAGGGACACCGAGCCAAAGTCTTATCTGCTGTTTATTCTGGCATTGCCTCGTCAATAAGATGGTTTTACACAGGCATGGAAATAGCAAAGAACATATCCAAGCATTTATCGGTGATTTACATTATCTTCCTTTCCTGTCTGACGTATTTCGAAATCATCTTTAATAATGGCAGAAGAATGAGTATTTATTTCTAAATAGAATGATAGTGCAGTTCACTCCTGTTATCGAATTTATTATTAATGTATATCCATGAAGTCCAAAAATACTTAAGACAAAATAAATAGGACATTTATGAGAAAAGTGTTTTAGTCCATGAATACTTGGGTCCAATTTAAAGCAAACACTTACTCATTGCATGCAACCTTGCTGCAACCTTTGTCGGTCATCTATAGATAAGACCCATAAAACTTTGAACAACCGACTTCATTATCCACTCTACAAACTTAGGAAGTAATAATTTGAAAATAAAACCAAACTTGACAACACGATTGTAAATATTTATGGCGGCAATAGGCACGCGCTAAATAATGGTAATCATAAATGATAATTTTATACCATTAACAATGAAAAGCGTGTTGACTAAGCTGGTCAGAAACATTTATGTAACGCTAGATTAAATAAACGGGTACTCAGAATACACTGATTGCGAACCGTTGTGTTAAACTGATATAAACAAAAGGCGTAATAAAACAGTCGAGTGGTAGTGTTGATATGCAAATGTGAACAATCAAATCTTCGTTGGGATACGATTTATGGAACCTTATACCAGCGCAAATTAATTGAGTTTCAGACATCTTTTGTAGTGAATGGAGTTACGGAATCATATTCAAATATTTCCGAACATTTTAAAAGCCGGAAAATGTGCTCAAAATTGTGGATGTATCTTATGAACAAACAGTTTCAATAGTATGTAAAGATAAGATTTAAAACAAAATGAAAACGTTAATTTAAAGATTCAATAAAATATCATGACGGTTTATCAAAAACCTGAAACAATTTGATTTCGCTACCTTAAAGTTATTTTTTTTTAAGTTATGATTTTTCGAATTGAATAAACAAGACACAAATATTTATTGGGCATAAAAAAGATCGCTGAAGTATATGATATGATATTACACAGGATTAAGACATGTCAAGAAATAAAGAATAAAGAATGCGCAGACCTTCGTTGCAATGTGTTTTGAAAGGTTACGTTACAATGTGCATTGACAGTTTTATGACATTTATAGGACATTCGGACAATATAATGACATATTAATTACGTATCGTATTTTTTGATGTGCAAAACAACTTACTAAATGGAATAATTTAATGATTTTACAGCTATGAACACCACGGAGAAAGAACTTGAAGACTTTAGGCAGTATAACATAGGAAACTATCTTTGGATTTATGTTTCACCAATTCTTATAATAGTTGGAACATTTGGAAACTTTCTTTCAATATGTGTTCTCCTACGTCCAAAATTACGTTGCTCGACAACAATGTTTTATCTAACTTGTTTAAGTTTTGGTGATTTGTTTACACTGTACACTGGATTATTACGTTACTGGATAAGTAAAGCTTTCGATGTAGACGTGAGACATTTTTCAAACGCTTCGTGCAAGATTCATACGTTTTTAGTCTACTTGTCCCTTGATTTTACTGTCTGGGTATTGGTGTCTGTGACAATAGATAGATGTTTATCAGTATCGATTCCATTCAGAGCAAAGATCTTGTGCACTTTGAAAAGAGCAGGCTGGGTTATAGCAGCTATCATAGTTTTCTTGGTCATCAAGAACATGCATTTCTTTTGGAACCTTCAACTTGTAAATACCTGGGAATTCAGGTGTGATGCCAAAACGGAAGCTGCCAATAACTTTTTAAGATATGTTTGGCCATGGATTGATTTTTCTACATTTTGTTTGATTCCATTTTCAATCATGATAGCATGCAATATAAAGATTATTTACGAAATGGTCAGTTCTCAAAAGAAGCTTGATAAACACAATGATTTCTATCGGACACCAAATTTAGCAACAAAGCTTGATAGCCCGTTAACACGGGAAAGTAATTCTGATATGGCCGTTCAGTCCATGACGATGCAGGACACAACGCAAACACGGGAAATTACGTCACAAATGACATCACAACAAACATTGCGGCAGACGTCACAGGTTAGAAATCGTTCACCTGCACGGAGGATTTCTTCACTTACAGCTATGTTACTGACAGTTAATTGTGTTTTTCTTGTAACAACATCACCAATTCAGACATTCTTGATTGGAGAAGAGTATTGGTATTCAGATAAAACACCAGAAGAAATAGCCTGGCATAACTTTTGGTGGGCTGTTGTTAATATGTTACAATATATCAATAATTCAATTCATTTCTTTCTATATTGCGTAACCGGTCCGAGATTTAGAAACGAACTGAAAAGTATGTTTCTGAGGAAGCATAAGATATCTGTTGTAAAAGAACCATCTGGTGGAACTGAAGTCTAACTATTAAAGTGAAATGGTCTTAAAAGGAAGGTCTGCATAAAAAAGAATAATTATGGTTAAAGAATGTAGTATCAGACATAACAACTAACCATAAAAGAATTATTTATGGATGTCTGTGGCACGTAAGACACATGATCCGATATTATATATAATTATATAGCAGAAAATAGTGTGTTCTAGAACTAAATATCATTGTTCAACATATAGATGTTCTTACAAAATCACTTTGAACTTTACAAACATTTGTGAGCAATATTTCATAGGAACAGATCTGATGTTTTGATCAATATTTATATTATTTATGAAAATTGTGCACTTTGTAGACTAATTTACTTTAATATTTCATAATATTATCACAGAATCCTATATAATATAAGCTGTTTATCCATCTCCCAGAAATTGTCAGTTGAATTAATTGTAATTTTCTTACGTGTTACTTGTAATAAACTAAAGATCTGCAACCCTCAACATTAATATCGAAATGTGTTCACTCTGTATATATTTGCTTTTGTATATCCCGATAATGTAATTTTATGATTTGTTTGAGAATATAGAAAATGTTTTGATCAGGTTAACCTTGACCTGTTTTGTTTTACCTTTGGCTTTTCGGTGTATGACAAAAGCCTCTTAACTGTCATATAGTAATAGATTAGTATTTCTTTAAAAAAAAACGTCATGGAACAGCTATTATAATACCAACATTTTATACATACTTGTATATTAATTTAAGTGTGCAATTCTTTAATGCATTCAATAAGTGTGCAGTTTACAAAACATTAATACTTTAATTTGCAATTTATAAGTAGCTGTTGAAGGTATAATAAATTTCCAGTAAACATTATCATTTAAAAAAAAATAATTATCGCTTTTTGTTGCATTGATTCTGGAAATAATGTTTGCACTTTAGAACAAAAATGCATTGATTTCGGCACTGTTAAAAATTGACTACCGCTCAAGCTGATGCTAGAGGGCGTGAGGGATGTTGCACTTTTCCATAATCCCTCATGTACAAACTCAATAAAACCAAGTCTGCAATTTTCAAGTTATTTTGCTGCTTTTGGTGCTTCCGATGGATATTTTTTTTTCTGATATTTATCAATTTTAAGAATAAATATGTGAGAACATGTGATCAAAAGAAATACTTGTGGTCGGCGTTAAACCACTATATCTTATATGTTATGTAATATTTTAAAGAAATGATACCTTCGAAATATTCCATTTTTAATATATAGTTCTAAATAAAGGAAAATATCAATTAGACTGCCTAAAATACTTATTGTCCATGAAATTTAATAACTTTTAAAAAATGTAATAAGCTTCATTCCGTAATTATCAGGGTAGTAATATGTTGAGAAAATACAAAATGTCACATGCATTGTGGATATTTATAATACTCTTACATTAATTCTATAAATATTATTAATATATATTAATATATAATATATTTTATTTATTTATTTCTGTTTTGACCAATACAAGTACAGTTAGCACATTTTATAAAATATGTCTACTTAAAGTTTGCATTCGCCTATTTTCTTTAATTACAATGTGTACATTTCAAACAATTTTTTCCTTATTATTATTAAATTGGTATTCTTTATTTACTATAGACCAATAAAACCACAAATGCACCAAACAGACAGGAAGTTTCAGTTTTCAGATTAATTTCATAGACCTTTGTTTATAATTACTATCGAACTGGTCTCTTGCACTTCCATTCAATTATTTAATTAATATTTTATTCTATCTTTATTGACATTTAGTGTTACTTTATTGGTAAACAATAGGTCAAACTGTCCGTATAAACATCGATTTTACCACAGTACTACTGCGTGTCGATCATTTAATCAAATAAGACAAATTTGTCCCAACAATCAAATCACTTGTCATTTATTGTTTTATACCCAGTCATAAATACTGAAGACAGTTTATTACTGCTTACGCCAATTTATTATTCTTTTCGCCAATTTATTACTACTTTCACCTAGTTGAAATACTACTTACAAAATACGTGACAATAAATGTTTGATCTACTTTTTGTATTTAACTGTTTGTTATACATCTTCAGAAATAATAAAACATCCTGGTGAGCTGTTTTATATAAGAAATTTCAAACAAGAGATAGGTCTAAGGGGAAATGTTAGAATTTATTAAACCGATTTAAGTCTTGCCATATCACTGTTTTATGCTTTTTATAATAATTACATTTAATGTTCTTCGATTTTGCGTCGGAACAGTATAATCCAATACAGAAAATGACAACAGCAAAATATAGTAACTGAGAGGGACACAAAACTGCAAAAACAAACGCAATAAAACTTTGACATTATCCTTCATTATTCAAAACGCTTGCGATATTTATGTGGCAATAGGCAGTAAACGAGTACTAATGGAGAAACAACTTAAAAGATGCATGAGTTGAAAATTATAAATGTATAAAACTTATATGTATTCGTATGTTGTTGATGCTATCTGGTAGAAATATTCAACATTTGAGCCGTGTCACGACAAAACCAACATAATGGGTTTGCGACCAGCATGGATCCAGACCAGTCTGCGCATCCGCGCAGTCTGATCAAGGCTTACAAACCCCATCACAAGTAGAGAAACTGATAGCGAACAGCATGGATCCTGATCAGACTGCGCGGATGTGCAGGCTGGTCTGGATCCATGCTGGTCGCAAACCAACTATGTTGGTTTTGTCATGACGCGGCTCAAATGTATAAAACTTGTACATACTCGTATGTTGTTGATATTATCTGATAGAAATATTCAAGATTTATTTTAAAGTAATTATGAGAATATAACTTATGTTGGTGGTGTTGGTTGTTAACTCTCTGAATTTTGACAGTAAGTTACTTTGAATTTACCAGAGAACAGTTCAGCCTGCGTTTCGTACTGGGCAGGCTGTCAAGTAGTTTACCAGTACTGCTTACCTTGCAAGGAATTGATAAGTTATGTACGTACCAGAGCAAAGGTACGGTTCGAATGACCGTAGTAACGGTTTCATGATCAATCACAGTGAAAGAGACCTACACCATCCGGGAATCAAACTTTTTTCAATCAAAAAGATTTCAAAGTGCTGCAACTTCTCAATGGATTGAGATAGTCAAAGGCTCTTCAGCGTTGGCTACACGTTACCTTATGATTGACCTGGGGTCATTTTAGCATCTCACAAGTCCAAATTTTCTTTTGGATAGGGGCGGCGCCGAAAAAGTTGTCACTTTTTTAAACAACATTTCTTAAACAAAAACAAGTGTTGGGGGCCTAAATAAGGCATTTTTTCACCATTTGAGACAACTTATTTGGGATGAAAAAGGCGTTAAAAGGCGTGTATATAGAGTAATGGGTTAACAGGACACCAAATATAAACAGAAGCATATCTTTAGCATAATGGCCCTTTAATTGTGCCATTTTCTTACATAAAATGTAAAAAAAATAATTTTATTATTTATAGCATCTGTAATTAAAGCGGAAGTGTTGTAATTCAGCATAAGGTGACTTAACAATTTTAATATACAAAGTGGGATTGAATTCGGCACTCGGAATTATCACTCATGAACTGACATTTAGTTTTAAGCTTTTTATACTTGTTTTCAATGCCCTCGAACGATGTCACCTTTCCAGAGGCTTGAGCTTGCTTTTTGGCCGTCCTTAAAATGTTGAAATATGCACTGGTTTAAGTACTTCACAGAAAGTGACGAGTGCATACATAATATTAAAATGCCTACTTTGAAAACTCGAGATGCATGTATATCGCTTGTTTCTAAATGTATCTAAACAAAAATAAATGATCAAATTAAAACTGTTCCAGCGCATAACTGATTGCAATTAAATGCATGTACCACAAATGGCACCCTTTAAGAATCATTAAAAATGACGATAATATTATGCATACATGTACATCTACATGTAAATGATTGATAAGTAAAGATAAAAAAGAGGCAAGCCCAGGAGCAAATAACAAAAACTGTACTCTCCATGATTTTACAGAACCCCATTGCAGCTCTTTTTAGATTTTAACTCTTATTCAAAGAGAAGTGTGGGCGTAGCTGGTGTTAGTAAACGCAATTAAAACACGATGCATATTTTAAAACGAGGCAATTTGTAAACTACAAATAGATATTCACCGTTCTAATCAGGCGCGCCTAAGGACTTTGCATATTGAAATAGCACAGAAATAATATAAAATTCCGGTATTGTTAATTATATATGTATATATATAATTAAATGATAGAGACGCAAGTTGCATTAAAGTTCATGTTTGTACTAGACATTGATTTCAGCGAATGTTTTTGTTTGCTATTTAGCCATGCTATCAAGCCAGTCAATTTTCCCAGAATGAAAACAAATTGATCTTACTTATAATAAATAAAATTACCTTTATATCAAGAGCCTCGTTTTCAGATTTGTTTATCGGATTCAGGGAATATGAATGAGAATCTACTGATTGATTATTGGAAATCTACACTAAAAATATATACCAATTAAATCTACACCATTTTAAAGAAAAGAATGTCATAATATAAAGGAAAATTTCAGTTGTTTCGTATACTAAATTTCTTAGCACCACCATGAAACTAGATAAGTACTTTTCTAACAATTTCAATTTTGACTTTACCTGTTTATGTAGCCTACTATATTAAAATCATAATGAAAAACCTATAAAATGTCATATCAAAATAATGTCAGTTTTATGTCGAATACCGGTTATGACGAATCTAGGATTGTGACAGCTATTGCACTTTTACATTATCTCTCATGAACAAGTCGAATCTGCATATTTCATTTAATTTTAATTGTTATCATTGTTTGAGAGGAATCTTCCGTTTTCAAGATATTTGTGGGAGTTGCCTAGTAAGAAATGATTTAATTTAAAAGATAGTATGTATGCACTATTATATAAACAACTTGTTCATATCGCAAAACAGGATTTGAAAATATGATTATGGGAGTTGCCTACAAAGAAATTATTTAATGATAGTATGTATACACTGTTATGTATTTAAAGAACTTGTTCATACTTACTGCAAAACAAGTTTTGAATATAAGATTATTATAACATTACTTTTATCTATTTAATTTACGTTGGCGTTTAGGATAAAAGATCATTGTTAGAAGCACTTACCAATAACCAAGTAGACGAATCACTTAATGACTTATGTCCGTCTCTCAGAAATACAGATATTCATCACGTAATTAATTTATAATATAAATAGATGTTTTCATGTGTATATCATTGTTAGCAAGAGATTTATAATATACATACCTAAATTTATAAAGATTAATTACAGTTTTAATTGGATAAACTGGAGGATTATCTTAATTCTTTTATTAATTTTATGCTGTAGTGTGTATATAATGTGAGATGTTAAGACTACTGATCAAAGTTTTTCAACCGCTATATACAACAGATGTGAATTGACTAATTTATTTAATAAATAGGATATTCGGACAAACAACATACATATTTAGTTAAATAGAGAACTTTGATAAAATATTAAGCTTGATCAGGTTCCTAAATATACCCGTTACAGGGATCGTACCTTTATAAGCAACGCGATTTAATGATTTTATTCAGCTATGAATGAAACAGAGAAAGATCTTGAAGACTTTATACAGTACAATATAGGGAACTTTCTTTGGATTTATGTTTCACCCATTCTTATTATATTGGGCACTTTTGGTAATGTTATGTCCATATGTGTCCTCCTGCGTCCAAAATTTCGCTTTTCAACAGCAATGTTTTACCTGACCTGTTTAAGTTTTGGTGATTTATTTACACTGTACACTGGATTGCTACGTTACTGGATAATAAAAGCTTTCGATGTGGATGTGAGGAGTTTTTCCAACGCTTCTTGCAAGATTCACGCGTTCTTAGTCTACTTATCCCTGGATTTCACCGTCTGGGTTCTGGTCACCGTGACCATAGATAGATTTTTATCGGTATTCGTTCCATTCAAAGCACGGATTTTGTGCACATTGAAAAGATCAGGCTTGGTAATAGCCGTGATTATTTTTCTCTTGGTCGTGAAGAACATGCATTTCTTTTGGAACGTGGAGCTTGCCGGATCCTTGGAAATAAGGTGTGGTAGCAAACCAAATGATTTTATGAAAGATATTTGGCATTGGATTGATTTTTCAACATTTTGTTTTATTCCGTTTTCAATTATGGTAGCGTGCAACGTAAAAATAATCTACGAAATGACCAGTTCCCAAAGAAAACTTGGATTCTTTCGAACACCAACATTAGCACCAAGGCTCAGTAGCCCATTGGCACGAGATGCTCATTCAGATCTGAACGCTCAATCTATGACGATGCTAGACACAACGCAAACAAGTGAAATGTTGTCACAAGAGACATTACCACGGACACCATCTTTAGCAACAAAGCTTGATAGCCCGTTAACACGAAGAAGTAACTCAGATTTGACCGTTCAATCCATAACAATACACGACGCAACGCAAACAAGTGAAATGTTGTCACGTGAAATTACGTCACAAATGACGTCGCGGCAGACATCGCGGCAGACGTCAAAGGTCAAAAATCGTTCACCAGCTCGAAGGATTTCTACACTTACAGTTATGCTTCTAACAGTAAATGGTGTTTTTCTCATTACAACATCACCAATCATGGTGTTTTTGATTGGACAAACGTATTGGTTTTCTGATGAAACACAAGAAGAAATAGCCTGGCAGAATTTCTGGTGGGCTGTTGTTAATATTTTACAGTATATTAACAATTCTATTCATTTCTTTCTATACTGCTTAACAGGCCAGAGGTTTAGAAAAGAGCTGAGGGTTATGCTGAGAAATCATAAAATAACTATTAAAAAAGGAACAACTCGGAGATTACTAGTAATTAATAACGTTTTAAATCATATAAGACTTCGATTCTCACGTGTTTTATCAAATTAACTGTGTATAACCTTACATCCAGATCTTTTTTTTTAAACTACATGTACACTAATCATATTTCTTTTCTTCGTGAAATAATCTTCTTCTTGTTTTCTGTTGTTTTTGTTGTTGTTGTTTCTGCTTTTTTGTTGTTTTTTGTCGTTGTTGTTGTCTTTATTTTAATTTGGACTTGAGTAAATTGAATTGCGTGGTACTACATTATATATATATATACATTTATTTAATCACTTTCACTAAATACGTTTATTGAAACATTTCTTTATTCAGTTTCTTATTTTGCAAGCTAAATCATTAAATATTCTCTCTGCAGTAGTAAACTTAGTAAATTCAGTAAACGACCGAACACTTCAATTTATTCGTGTTTAATGTATGCATTTTGTACCATAGACATTTTATTGCTTACTGAAGACAATCTGATTAAATTCAGCTCTTAATAACGCCCCACTTTTTAGATCTGACCGTGACCAAATATGAAGTCATTTCTGGTGATCTTTGACGCTACCAATCATTGACGAGCTTTCATAATTTTGAAAGCGATACGGTTTCTAATTTTAATCCTGGAAAATTTGATACTTCTTCTCATGTCTATGTCAAACCGGTTTGATTGCATGACTAGAAATAGCTTTCTCGGGAATCCGAATGAATGATAAAGAAGGCGAAGCATATCGTCATCAGATCTACACAACAGAAATAAGTAGAGCTGAACTTTAGTCAGATTGTACTGAAGATGCATTCCATTCGTCAATGTTTAATGGAAGATAGAGGACTTATAACTGCCCACAATTTTCATCATTTGTTGCTGTTAACATTTGATATTGTTTAATGCAAATACAATTTATTGTCATTGTCATTTTCACATCTCTTCTAGTTTTAATGTACGTATTTTCAGTGTTACAATATATGAAGATAAAGCTTCTTAACTGTTTGAAACATATAGATGTATAAGTATATACTATTTCATTCTAGATCGATTGCGTAGGTAGCTATAAGCATAATGAAGCACTCGAATCCGTTCCGGAAACCAACCAGTACTAAGCAATGAATGAAAAGTTTCCTGCTCACGGAAACAACGGCATGCCACACCGTTGCGGCCAAGCAGATATATCGTGAATTTTAAATAAATAAGTATTTTCTTCACATAGGTCTTAGGAAAAGTTTTTAAATGTTCATTATTTCATTTTGAAATCACGATCAACAATATGTTTCTTGTTTATATAAGGTTACTTTGATTTGAAATTATACTTACCAATTAAAAAGTATAAATTGCAATTTACAATTTCGAGTTTAAATTGTTATTTTTAAAACCAAACACTACAGCTTTTGTTGTCAGAAATATTGTTAGCACTTTAGAATAATAAATATATGGTCATTTGGTTGAGGAAGATATTTTTGAGGAAATTTGGCCATAAAAAAGTGTACTTATCAAGTTATGCATATATAGTTTAGTGTACAAATAGTTTATGTAGTGTCCAAATGCCTTGAAAGTACATGTAACGTTGTTGTTTAAAGCAGCATGTCTCCGACAATTTACGAGGTTTTATAAGTTGTGTTAACAGATGCATTTTGAGTCCTAACTCCGTCAGAAACGGTGTAGAAATACGGTGATGAAAATAAGAATACATGTCATAGCTGGCATGAAAGAAATACAATGTAACATTTATTAAAGTCTCACATTGTTGTTCTGAAATTCAATTCATTTCTTTATTTTTAATTTTATTTGTACGTGTATATTTTTATTCTTTTTGTTATTAGATGGTTATACGGACGTTTTGACCTATTGTTTACCAATTAAGGAACGCTTAATGCCGATAAAGTCAAATATTATTTAAATAACAAGTTGCAAGTACCATATTACTACCGCGTGTCTGTCATGTGACCAAATAAGACAAATTTGTCTTACAATCAAATAACTTATTAACAGTTATTGTTTTATACCCAGCCATAAAAACTGAAGACATTTTATTACTTCTTACTCCAATTTAGTATTCTTTATGCCGATTTATTACTACTTTCGCCAAAGTGAAATACTTCTGTAGAATAAAATGATGTTAAGTTTTATCTACTGCATTAACATGTATAAATGAGATGTTTTGTATTCATCTTCAGAAATTATAAACGTCCTGGTTGATTAATTTCGAACATAGTTTAAAAAGTTTAAAAAGAATTAACTGAATTTATTGGTTCGATTTACGTTTTCAATTTTGCAAACATACACACTAAAATTTTAAATTATTTTCAAAAAAAAGAAACACCGTCATGACGTAGACATTGCATTTTACGAAAGCGTCCTGACACGGAATCGTTCTGGTGCCAATTCATAATGGTCTATAAAAAAGAGGCTTTTTATCTCCTAAATAGGATTTGATCTATTTGTAGAACATTATAAAAATCTGGCACCAGGACGCGCTTCCGTAGCATTATATTATTTAAATATTCAAATATTGAACATTGCAGTTAATTTGTCATGGGGAACAACATTAATTTGGAACTACAGTGACAAAGAACACGTTTTTTTATCTATTTAACTATTGAATCACGACATGCAACAATACATATTTACATAACGACCAATCCCATGACATGACGCGACTTATAAGTGTTCATATAATACATGCATACAGAGGGTTTATATCGTTGACAAGCACTATTAAACAACTTCCGCTGTGTTAAGTAGTTCTCAAAATTGAAACATTAGTAAATATTAATTTATTAAAACTAGTTTATTTGATTAACATCTGATAGTTCACGTCCGTAATTTATTTTATAATCTAGATTAGCCTGTATTCTATGTACTGTATCGGAAATTCTTGCAAATAAGTAAGTGCGCGGTAAAAATTGTCCACGCTGTGAGTATTGCTAAGTTAAGACAGTTTATTTGTCGAGTAGTGGTCAATTAGAATGGTCATTTGTTCGTTTGTTTGTTTGTTTGTTTGTTTGTTTGTTTGTTTGATTGATTGATTGATTGATTGGGTTTAACGTCACACCCATACAATATATGTCATATGGCGACTTTTCAGCTTTACTGGTGAAGGAAGGCTTTGCAGGGAGAGGCCCCTGAGAAAAACCACCGACGATCCATAAGCTAGCTGTCCACACTGTAAATATTGCTAAGTGAGTAATCCTCGTGAAGTGGGTAGTATTTAAACATGAGTTTTGCTTATCTAAATGATCATAAAATGTGAGAATTGAGAAGTAAATAATGTTCACTTGATGAATATTGCTCAATTAGAAATACGTGAGCAATACATGACTGAAAAGTTCCAATTGAGTAAGAACTAGTAAATTTGGCATACACGCTTTATATTAAGGGCAATATTATGGAAGTGGCCGTGTCATAAACAAATAAGCCTCCCCTGGACTTGATTTAAATATCATGAAAGGGTCTTTTAAGATCTTTAAAGATGACAATGTCAATTTTTCGATGGTCCAAAAGACTACAAGCTGCTATGACACTGATGATTTTATATATGAGCTACGTCACGACAAAACCAACGTAATTCATTTGCGACCAGCATGGATCCAGACCAGCTTGCGCATCTGCGCAGTCTGGTCAGGATCCATGCTGTTCGCTATCGGTTTCTCTATTTGAAATAGGGTTTGTAAGCGAACAGCATGGATTCTGTTCAGGCAGAGGCTTGAGCTTACTTTTCGGTCGTCCTTAAAATGTTGAAATATGCACTGGTTTAAGTACTTCACAGAAATTGACGACATTGCGTTCATAATATTATATCCGAACGCCCACTTTGAAAACTAGAGATACATGTATATCGTTTGTTAAAAAATAAGGCAAGCCCAGGAGCTAATAACAAAACCTGATACTCTCCATGATTTTACAGGACCCCATTGCAACTCTTTTTAGATTTTAACTCTTATTCAAAGAGAAGTGTGGGCGTAGCTGGTTTTAGTAAACGTAATTAAAATCCGATGCATACTTTAAAACGAGGCAATTTTTAAACTACAAATAGATATTCACCGTTCTAATCAGGCGCGTCTATGGGCTGGGCATATTGAAATAGCACAGAAATAATATAAAATTCTGGTACTGTTAATTATATATGTATTAAATGATAGGGACGTGCGTTGCATTTAAGTTGTTGTTTATACTAGACTTTGATTTCAGCGAACGTTTTGTGTTGTTGTTGTTGTTGTTGTTGTTGTTGTTGTTGTTGTTGTTGCTGTTGTTCTTGTTTGTTGTTTTTGTTGTTATTGCTGTTATTTTTGTTGTTGATTTGTTGGGGTTTTTGTGGGTTTTTTTTTAATTCAATCAAGAGCCTCGTTCTCAGATTTGTTTACCTGATTCAGAGGATATGAATGAGTATCGAGTGATCGATTGTTGAAAATCTACACTAAACATATAAACCAATTAAATCTATACAAGTTCAAAGAAAAGAATGTCATAATATGAAGGAACATTTCAGTTGTTTCGTATACAGTCAAGACTGCCTTAGCGTGTACTAAATTTCTTAACACCACCATGAAACTAGATAAATACTATTCTAACAATTTCAATTCTGACTTTACCTGTTTATGTAGCCTACTGTATAATCATATTAAAAGACCAGCGACGTCTTATTTCTAGACAACTGGAGAAATTTAAAGACAAGTTGTCACTTTCGAAGAAGTCAGCCCTGCTCGAAATCATGGAAGAAAAAGCCGAGATTATCAAGAACCTCAACGATAAGATTGTTTATCATGCAAATATAGACGATTTGGAAACAGAATTAATAGAGAGTGACGAATATTTAATTGATTTACGATTGAAACTACGAAGATAGATATTACCAAATCTAATAACACTGGCAGCGGCAGCGTGATCCGTAATTCACAGGACATTAACGGTAGTGCTAGAACGTTATCAAGTGAGAACTTTTCTATTCATAACTTAAGGGTGTCGTCTGATAATTCATCTTTTCACAGACTACCTAAACTGACTTTGCCTACGTTTGATGGAGATGTTGAAAAATGGCAGTCATTCTGGGACTCGTATGAGGCTGCTATACATTTGAACCAAACACTATCTGATGTCCAAAAGTTGTAGGTTCCTTACTACAAGACACTGCATATACCGCCATAGCAGGTTTTCCATTAACTAACGGAAATTACCAGAATGCAATAGATTTGTTACAAGAACGATTCGGACAGTCTCATAAAATAATAGATAGTACATGCAGTCGCTTTTAGATTTGCCGATTCCAGACAACAGTGTAACGAGTCTACGCAGGTTTCACGACAAAATGGAAAACTACATCCGGGGTTTAGAATCTTAAGGGGAGAGTGTGATACAAATGTTACCACATCAAACCCTGTACATTATATACCACATCATTATGTAAAGAAGGACTCGCACACGACACTTATCCGCATCGTGTATGACTGCAGTTAAAAGTCACGTGACCAGCCTAGTCTGAACGATTGCTTGATGTCGACACGACCTGAACTGAATGATTTAACTGGAATTCTTATTCGTTTTCGAATGAATAAATACGCCATAGCAACCGATATTGAGAAAGCCTTCCTCAACATTACTCTTGATGAGAACAACCGAGATGTGACGCGATTTCTATGGCTCAGTGATCCAAGTAACCCCAACAGCGAATCGACAACATATAGATACCGAGCAGTCCTTTTCGGGGCTACGTCGTCCCCTATTACTCTCTGCGCAACTATACTTAAGCACCTTGAACTTAAGAACGACAAGCAAGCTAGTGAATACCTACGTCAAGATCTATACATTGATAACGTGATATCAATTTTCCAACAGGAAGAACAACTTCTACAATTCTACAGCGATTCACGTGAGCTGATGTCATCTGCAGGTTTTAACCTTAGGTCCTGGAGTTCAAATAGTAAAATGCTTCAAATACAGGCAATCAACGATTCAGTATTAGATAACGCACAAACTCCCTAAGGTACTTGGAACGAAATGGGACACAAATAGTGACGTTTTACTGTATCCTGTCAGAAATATACCAAATACCCAGATTGTAACAAAGAGAGAAATATTGCAACATACATCTCGAATCTATGATCCCTTAGGTTTACTAAGTCCAGTTACCATCAGAGCTAAATTACGTCTACAGGAGTTATGGCAACAGAAGTTTGAATGGGATATGCCATTACCTGACAGTATTCAAGAAAAATGGCGTAGTTTAATAACAAATTTGAAATCCGTGACAAAAACTACGTTTCCTAGATACTACTTCAAAAATACATTAAACGCATCAAGTAACACGTGCATTCACATATTCTGCGACGCTAGCTTGGTATGGTATGGTGCTACGGCTTACATCTGTAGAGACAACCAATCTACTCTGGTAATGGCTAAAACTCGGGTTGCTCCATTGAAGAAGTTAACGTTACCTAGGTTAGAGCTAATGGTGGCAGTAATTGGATACCGGCTCAGAAAACATATGCAGCGAAACACCAGCATAACACGGATATACCTGTGGTCAGATAGTCAGATTGTGCTTTTTTGGCTTCAGACGCCTAAAACCCTTTCACAATTTGTAAGGAACAGAGTGATTGAAATCCACGCGCTGTCCGAAAACCGGAAATGGAATTATTGTCCGACGAAAGAAAACCCTGCCGATTTACTTACGAGGGGAATCTCTGTGACTCACTTCAAGAACAGTAATCTATGGTTTCATGGACCTACATTGCTTACCACACCCAGCAACCGAGCCAAAAGATTAAGCAACATCAGTTTTATAGACATGTCAAGATTCAGTTCGTTAACAAAGCTACTCAGGGTTACAGCTTATGTCCTGCGTTTTATATTCAAGTGTCGAGGCGGGAGTCATACTGGAAGATTAGACTTGTTAACTACAGATGAACTACGCAGAGTTGAGGAGATGTGTTTACGGTGTTGCCAGATGTCCAAATATCAAGCAGAAATAGAAGATACAAAATCAAAAAGAAACAAACTTCCATTATGTAGACAACTTCAGTTATTCTTAGATAATGGCATATTAAAGTGTCGTGGTCGTATCCACAATGCTCCATTAGACGAGCTGACCAAGTTTCCGTACCTACTACCAGCTAAACATCCATTTACAAAGTTAGTTGTCAACAACGCACATTCCAGATAATTGCATGCCGGCGTTAGTTCAACTATTACGTTTTTAAGACAAAAGTACTGGATTCCCTCGATTCGTCAAACTGTAAAAAACATATGATGTAAATGTACATGTGTGAAGATTATTGTGAAACCCTATTCAGCACCTGACCCATCTCCATTACCAAAGTGTAGAGTTTCTGACGTCAAACCCTTTACTTATACAGGAGTAGACTTCTCTGGAGCATTACTGGTTCTGGATAGCAACAAAAGAGACATAGAAGCTTACTTATGCTTGTTTACATGTGCTACTACGAGAGCAGTTCACCTAGAACTTGTTTCAACCCTAGCAGCAGAATTATTCCTACAAGCTTTCCGATGTTACTGTAGCAGAAAAGATGTCATGATGTCAGACAACGCTAACACCTTCATATCAGCCTCAAAACAACTAAGAGATTTGTTTCACTCACTCACAGTTAGAGAAGAACTCAACAACAGAGGAATTGAGTGGAAGATGATACCGAAACGCGCCCATTGGTTTGGTGGAATGTAGGAACGTCTCATAGGTCTGACGAAAACAACAATAAAGATAGTGCTAGGACATTCCTATGTAACCTACGAAACTTTACAGACTGTTATCACAGAAATCGAGGCAATGATTAACGATAGGCCGTTGACATATGTGTGTTCTGGTAATTCAGATAAACCGGAAGTACTTACACCATCACACTTACTTTATGGCAGACGAATAACCAAACTCCCTTATGAGGATGTCCTTACATGTACATTTCCTACGCCAAGTGACCGATCGTCAGTTATCAAACATGCTACGATACAAACGAAGTTATTTAACCACTTCCGGGATAGATGGCGTCACGAATACCTGACAGCTTTACGAGAACGTCATCAGACTACTGGCAAAAATGACCAGACGATATCCGTTGGAGACGTTATATTAGTCCACGACGATGTTCCCCGCTTATTATGGAAACTTGCTGTGGTTGAAGAACTCGTGCCAGGAAAAGATGGACTTATTCGAAGCAATCGTGCTATTGTAAAACATTACCCCATCAAAATGAATTAATCTAAAATTTCAAAGGAAAGGTGATACATGAATAAGAGACTGTATTCAATATATTTATGACTGCTTTTTAATTAATAATACTTTATATGAGATACTATAGCAACTGTAGTGTTCAAATAATGGATTTATTACTAAACTTTAAATAACATTTCGCGCCCCGAGTATGTCGGGAACTGATAACGACAATTTATAGAGCCTTGCATAACGTGACGTTCCGCGCTTACGTTAACGTCACTTCCGACTTAACATTGTATTGTTGTTTACACTATATATGATTGTTGATAAGTAAAGGTCGAATCTGGAAACTACAACGCATTTTGTCTAGTTACTATACACCCCCACAGGGTCATTGTTAGAAGCACTTGTCAATAACCAAGTAGACAAATCACTTAATGACTCGTGTCCGTCTTTCAGAAATGCAGATATTCATCACGTAGGTAATTTATAATATAAATAGATATATATTTTCTTGTGTATATCATTGTATGCAAGAGATTTATAATATACATAACTAAAATTATTAAGATTAATTACAGTTTTAAATGAATAAACTGGCGGATAATCTGAACACTTTTATTAATTTGATGCTGTAGTGTGCATATAATGTGAGATGTAAAGAATACTGATCAAAACTTTTTCACTGCCATATACAACAGCAATTAATGATCGACGGTATAATGTGTATTGACAACGTTAGTTAAAATGTGAATTGACAGTTTTACTTAATAAATAGGATATTAGGACAAACAACATACATATTAAATTAAATAGAGAACTTTGATAAAATATTAAGCTTGATCAGGTTCCTAAATATACCCATTACAGGGATCTTACCTTTATAAACAACGCGATTTAATGATTTTATTCAGCTATGAATGAAACAGAGAAAGATCTTGAAGACTTTATACAGTACAATATAGGGAACTTTCTTTGGATTTATGTTTCACCCATTCTTATAATATTGGGCACATTTGGTAATATTATGTCCATATGTGTCCTCCTGCGTCCAAAATTTCGCTTTTCCACAGCAATGTTTTACCTGACCTGTTTAAGTTTTGGTGATTTATTTACATTGTACACTGGATTGCTACGTTACTGGATAATAAAAGCTTTCGATGTGGATGTGAGGAGTTTTTCCAACGCTTCTTGCAAGATTCACACGTTCTTAGTCTACTTATCCCTTGATTTCACCGTCTGGGTTCTGGTCACTGTGACCATTTATAGATTTTTATCGGTTTCTGTTCCATTTAAAGCAAAGATCTTGTGCACATTGAAAAGATCAGGCTTGGTAATAGCCGTGATTATTTTTCTCTTTGTCGTGAAGAACATTCATTTCTTTTGGAACATGGAGCTTGCCGGATCCTTGGAAATAAGGTGTGGTGGCAAACCAAATGATTTTATGAAATATATTTGGCCATGGATTGATTTTTCATCATTTTGTTTTATTCCGTTTTCAATTATGATAGCGTGCAACGTAAAAATCATCTACGAGATGACCAGTTCCCAAAGAAGACTTGGATTCTTCCGAACACCAACATTAGCACCCAGACTCAGTAGCCCATCGGCTAGAGATGTACATTCAGATCTGAACGTTCAATCCATGACGATGCTAGACACAACACAAACAACTAAAATGTTGTCACAACAGACACTACAACGGAAATCATCTTTAGCAACAAAGCTTGATAGCCCGTTAAAACGAGAAAGTAATTCAGATATGAACGTTCAATCCATGACGATGCTAGACACAACGCAAACAAGTGAAATGTTGTCACAACAGACACTACAACGGACACCATCTTTAGAAACAAAGCTTGATAGCCTGTTAACACGAGAAAGTAATTCAGATCTGACCGTTCAATCCATGACAATGCAAGACGCAATGCAAACAAGTGAAATGTTGTCACAACAAACACTACAACGGACACCATCTTTAGAAACAAAGCTTGATAGCCCGTTAACACGAGAAAATAATTCAGATCTGACCGTTCAATCCATGACAATGCAAGACGCAACGCAAACAAGTGAAATGTTGTCACAACAAACACTACAACGGACACCATCTTTAGAAACAAAGCTTGATAGCCCGTTAACACGAGAAAATAATTCCGATCTGAATGTTCAATCCATGACGATGCCAGACACAACGCAAAAAAGTGAAATGTTGTCACAACAGACACTACAACGGAAATCATCTTTAGCAACAAAGCTTGATAGCCCGTTAACACGAGAAAGTAATTCAGATCTGACCGTTCAATCCATGACAATACAAGACGCAAAGCAATCAAGTGAAATGCTGTCACAGGAAATTACGTCACAAATGACGTCAAAGCAGAAATCGCGGCAGACGTCAAAGTTCAAAAATTATTCACCAGCTCGAAGGATTTCTACACTAACAGTTATGCTTCTAACAGTAAACTGTGTTTTTCTCATAACAACATCACCAATCATGGTGTTTCTGATTGGACAAGAGTACTGGTACTCATATGAAACACCCAAAGATATAGCCTGGCATAATTTCTGGTGGGCTCTTGTTAATATGTTACAGTATATTAACAATTCAATTCATTTCTTTCTATACTGCTTAACAGGCCAGAGGTTTAGAAAAGAGCTGAGGGTTATGCTGAGAAATCATAAAATAACTATTATAAAAGGAACAACTCGGAGATTACTAGTAATAAATAACGTTTTAAATCATATAAGACTTCGATTCTCACGTGTTTTATCAAATTAACTGTGTATAACCTTACATCCAGATTTTTTTTTTAAACTACACTAATCATATTTCTTTTCTTCGTGAAATAATCTTCTTTTTGTTTTCTTTTGTTTTCTGTTGTTTTTGTTGTTTTTGTTTTTCTTGTTGTTGTTTTGTTGTTGTTGTTGTCTTTATTTTAATTTGGACTTGAGTAAATTGAATTGCGTGGTACTACATTATATATATACATTTATTTAATCACTTTAACTAAATACGTTTATTGAAACATTTCTTTATTCAGTTTCTTATTTTGCAAGCTAAATTATTAAATATTCTCTATGCAGTAGTAAACTTAGTAAATTCAGTAAACGACCGAACAGTTCAATTATGGTACATTTATTCGTGTTTTAATGCTTGTATTTGTACCATAAATACTTTAATGCTTACTGAAGACAATCGGATTAAAATCAGCTCTAAATAACGCCCCGCTTTTAGATCTGACCGTGACCAAATATGAAGTCATTTCTGGTGATCTTTGACGCTGCCAATCATCGACGAGCTTTCATAATTTTGAAAGAAAGCGATGTGGTTTCTAATTTTAATCCTTGAAAATTTGTTACTTCTTCTCATGTCTATGTCAAACCGGTTTGATTGCATGACTAAAATAGCCTTCTCGGGAATCCGATTGATAAAGAAGGCGAAACATATACGATCGTCATCAGATCTACACAACAGAAATAAGTAGAGCTGAACTTTAGTCAGATTGTACTGAAGATGCATTCCATTCGTCAATGTTTAATGGAAGATAGAGGACTTATTACTGCACACCATTTGTATATATGGGATGTGTAATATATTGTTTTCATCATTTGTTGCTGTTAACATTTGTTAATGTTTTATGCAAATACAATTCATTGTCATTGTCACTGCCACATCTTATCTTGTTTTAATGTACGTATTTTCAGTGTAACAATATATGAAGATACAGCTTCTTAAGTGTTTTGAAACATATAGATGTATAAGTATATACTATTTCATTCTAGATCGATTGCGTAGGAAGCTATAAGCATAATGAAGCACTCGAATCCGTTCCGGAAACCAACCAGTATAAGCAATGAATGAAAAGTTTCCTGCTCACGGAAACAACGGCATGCCACACCGTTGCGGCCAAACAAATCTATCGTGAATTTTAAAATAAATTAGTATTTTCTTCACATAGGTCTTAGAAAAAGTTTTTAATGTTCATCATTTCATTTTGAAATCACTATCAACAATAATGTTCTTGTTTATATAAGGTTACTTTGATTTGTAATTATACTTACCAATTAAAAAGTATAAATTGCAATTTACAATTTCGAGTTAAAATTGTTGTTTTTAAAACCAAACACTACAGCTTTTGTTGTCAGAAATATTGTTTGCCATTTAGAATAATAAATATATGGTTATTTAGTTGAGGAAGATATATTTGAGGAAATTTTGCCATAAAAAAGTGTACTTATCAAGTTATGCATAAATAGTTTAGTGTATAAGTTCAAATGCCTTGAAAGTACATGTAACGTTGTTGTTTAAAGCAGCATGTCTCCGACAATTTAAGAGGTTTTATAAATTGTGTTAACAGATGCATTTTGAGCCCTAACTCCGTCAGAAACGGTGTAGAAATACGGTGATAAAAATAAGAATACATGTCATAGCTGGCATGAAAGAAATACAATGTAACATTTATTAAAGTCTCACATTGTTGTTCCTTAATTCATTTTTATTTATTTATTTTTAATTTTATTTGTATGTGTATATTTTTATTCTTTTTACTTTTAGATGGTTATACAGACGTTTTGACCTATTGTTTACCAATTAGGGACGCTTAATGCCGATAAAGTAAAATATCAGTTAAATAACAAGTTGCAAGTACAATATTACTACCGCGTGTCTGTCATGTGACCAAATAAGACAACTTTGTCTGACAATCAAATAACTTTTCAGTTATTGTTTTATACCCAGTCATAAAAACTGAAGACATTTTATTACTTCTTACGCCAATTTAGTATTCTTTTTGCCGATTTATTACTACTTTCGCCAAAGTGAAATACTTCTGTAGAAAAAAATGATGTTAAGTTTTATCTACTGCATTAACATGTATAAATGAGATGTTTTGTATTCATCTTCAGAAATTATAAACGTCCTGGTTGATAAATTTCGAACATAGTTTAAAATGTTATGTAAAACTTTGTAAATTATCTACTGCATATACATGCATATACATGTATAAGTGAAATGTTTTGTATATACATTGTATCTTCAGAAATTATTAACATCCTGTTGGGTTGATTTCAAACATGATAAGTTTAAAAAGAATTAACTGAATTTATTGGTTTGATTTACGTTTTCAATTTTGCAAACATACACAATAAAATTTTTACATTATTATCTAAAAAGAAAAACAGCGTCATAACGTAGACGAAAGCGTCCTGGCACGGAAGCGTTTTGGTGCCAATTCATAATGGTCTATAAAAAAGAGGCTTTTTATCTCCTAAATAGGAATTGATCTATTTGTAGAACATTATGAAAATCTGGCACCAGGACGCGCTTCCGTAGCATTACATTATTTAAATATTCGAACATTGAAAACTTGCAGTTAATTTGTTTTAGGGAACAACATCAAATTGGAACTACAGTGACAAAGAACGCGTTTTTTTATCTATTTAACTATTGAATCACGACATGCAACAATACATATGTACATAACGACCAATCCCATGACATGACGCGACTTATAAGTGTTCATATAATACATGCATACAGAGGGTTTATATAGGTGGCAAGCACTATTAAACAACTTCCGCTATGTTAAGTTGTTCTCAAAATTGAAACATTAGTAAATATTAATTTATTAAAACTAGTTTATTTGATTAACATCTGATAGTTCACGTCCGTAATTCATTTTATAATCTAGATTAGCCTGTATTCTAGGTAGTGAATCGGTAATACTTGCAAATAAATAATGTTCCTACTGTAAGCTGTACTTGTCCATGGAGAAAGAGGTGTAAGAGGTGTGATCATGTACGTTTTGCTAAGAGAGTAATGTTTTGTGGTGAGTTGTGCTCAATAAGAATGGTCATATTAAATATGAGTAGTGCGCGGTAAAAATTGTCCACGCTGTTTGTTTGTTTGTTTATTGGGTTCAACGTCACACCGATACAATATAGGTCACATGGCGACGTACCAGCTTTACTGGTGGAGGAAGGCTTTGAACGGGGAGGCACCTGAGTAGAAACATGTTCGTGAAGTTGGCAGCCTAACAGCCTGAAGTTGGCAGCCTAGCAGCCTGAAGTTGGCAGCCTAGCAGCCTAATGAAAACTAAGGATAGTAAAAAAATAAAAACATGAATCAGTAGCACATACTTAGACCATTCCACGTCTTATTTCAATATCGCGATCTTTATTTTCTTATAAATATGGCACTTTATTTTTTTCATTTTGACGCTTCGAAAGTTGTGAAGTTAGCAGCCTAGCAGCCTGAAGTTGACAGCCTAGCAGCCTAAAGAAAACTAAGAATAGTACAAACATGAAAACAATTGGAAATATAGTAGCACTTCCTTAGATCATTCCATATCTTTTTTCAATATCGTGATCTTTTTTTAAGATGTTGAACTTTATCTTAACATAATTTTGTCATTCAGATGCTTCGAAATTTGTGAAGTTAGCCGCCTAGCAGCCTGGCAGCCTAACAGCCTAAATAAAACTAAGGATAGTACAAACATGAAAACCGTCGGAAATGAATCGGTAGCACATACTAAGACCATTCCACGCCTTATTTCAATATCGAGATCTTTGTTTTTTATCTAAAACTTAGCAGTAACAAACTTTATCATATTCTTTACAAAATTACAACAGAAAAACAACAAAAAATATCATCTTGCTTTATAAATTATTAATTAATTAATACATATTATGCATTAGGAGATTTACCATACGAGTTTAGAAATATTTACATTTTAATTTGTAATGTAATCTTGTTTAACATCATTTTACACTTAAAATTACAAATAAAACTACTGTAACAAATATCTCTTAATAAAAACGTCTTCAGAAAAATAAAATAGTAAACCTAAATCTGACTATATCAAAATGTAAAATATAAACGTTTGCCAACAATGGGATTCGAACAAACGCCCAACGCATAATCTGTTCCTTCCCTGAAAATGAATACACTTCCGAAAGGAGGTACTGCGTTGGGCATTTTATAAACGTTTCTCAAACGTATTGTCAGACAGTAGCAATGTCATTGCTAGAGGAAGGTATGATGTCGACAAAATCATAGATATATTTGTATACAGTGAAATCGCAGAAATCAAACTTCTAAACCTGACAATATACACATGCGCAAGAACGGTCAATCCATATTCCAAAATTGGCGTTTACATTGTACTTGTATTTCAGGAGGGGGAATGGGTGGTGCCACGAGTCAAAACTTTAGTGTTTGCAAGATTTTCGCTAATAAAAGTTGATATCCAAGCCTATGCTGCATCATGGGCCAGATTATGAAAATCAGAGATGTCATAAGCAGCTCGGCTTATGCAAATATATTCAAAATTCAATAAGATATCCGCAAAAATATCTTACCCGACACATCACTATTTTACTGTTTTCTACTTGTACGTTATCTAAAGGTCACCTTGAACCAAAATAAAGCTATAATTAAATGATAGATTACTACAGAAATGATATGATAAAACAAATAATATCGGTCTGAGCGGTGTTTATCGGACATATCACAGCAGGCCTGAGTGGTTAATGTTTTCTCACCAAAACGACAAAACCGGTGTTAAATAGCCGATAAACACCGCATAGACTGATATTATTTCGATTCTTACAAGGCAAGTAAAGACCACTTATTGCTATTTTTTCAAGCGAACATTACTTCCGTCGCCGATTTTCGTATAACGATGTTCTATTTCGCACTCTACTGTCGCTAAGGTATAGAAATTACTCCCCGTTCACACATAGACGCCGCTTCTACTACGATCAAAGCGTGGCCAAAAACGTGGTCGATCGTGGCAAATCGCATGAGAAACGTAGTGGAGTCTACATAAGCGCAGTATGATCGCGGTAGCGTCTTCATGATCGGAAAGCTCTACGCTCTCGCCACGTTTATTTTGAACGTGCTCAAAACAAGCGTAGCGGGATCGTGGCCAACAAGGATCGGGGTAAAGTCGTAAAAAGAGCGTGGTAGACGCGCCGTAATCGTATAGGCAGCGCGGAAGCATCGTGGATAGTTCTTCATGATCGTAGTAAAAGCGCAGTAAAAGCGTAGTACAGTCGGGAACATACCGAGTACGCTTCTACAACGTTCCCACTTTGTTCTTACTATGTTCCCACTACGATATCTCTACGTTCATGACGATCCTACGAAGACCTACCATGACCTTACGACGATCATACCACGACCTGTCAGGTAGCAGTTTGTTTTTATAGCGCTGCTATTTAACCAATCATAATCTGCCAACAACTGCGGCACTTTACTTGACGACCATTTGCAGCTCCGCCGCCTGTTAAAAATCTGTGCAATTTCAATTTCAACCAATATTTGTTCTTGCTGAAGTAAAGCCAGATGAATCAGATCAGCATTAATACGTTCGTTCATGTTTGAAGTTTGGAAAATAATTTTTGAAACCCAAGATATATATATCATTGCCAAAATCGTACCAGAAGCGTACTTCAAGCGTGATATGATCGGCACCGTCGTAGCTATATCGTCGTACAGTCTTCTAGGTCTGCATAGCGTCGTAGTGCGAGCTTAAATGTCGTAGCGGCAGCGTAGTATAAACGCAGTAAACGCGGTCGCTGGTCGGCATCGGTCAGCGTAACATCGTAGTAGAAGCGTGTCAGCAGCGCGTTAGACGTGGGAACATCGTAGTACAGTCGTAATG